ACGGAGCAGTTTCTACTCTTGCCACATGGGCTTGTGATGAGCTGGAACAGACTCAAAAACAATTTTCATTTTTGTTACACTTCTATTGGGGTGTTATGTCATCGCTTTCTTAAAATACTAAAAAATAGATAAAACTGCATTTCTTTCACTTTATGTTCTTAAGGTATCTATTAAGCGATAGGGTTCAACTGAGTTTATTCCTGTAAAGTATTAAAATCTGGAACATAATGCAAATAAAATAAGTGGTAGCTCAAAAGCTACTAGACATCAGTAGTAACCAAAACAGGATGGTCCTGGTACAGCGACAGGCACACAGAGAAATGTAACAGAATTGAGAACTCAGAAGTAGACCCTTCGATCTATGGTCAACAAGGACATAAAAACTATCAAATGGGGAAATGACAACCTCTTCAACAATTGGTGCTGGCCAAACTGGACTGCTACCTACAGAAAGTTAAAAGAGGATCCACATCTCACACCATACACAAAAATCACCCCCCCCCAAAAAAAATCAACCCAAGGTGGATCAGAGACCTGAGAGTAAAGCGCAAAACCATAAAGTTCATAAGAAACAAACTGGGATCAAGCTTAGGAAGCCTACTCTATGCCAAATACAACCAGAAATACACAATCTGGAGAGGATAAAATTGATGAATGGGACCTCCTAAAGATTAAATCCCTGGAAGCATCAAAAAACATTTTTCAACAGATCGTGAAGAAAACCTACTGACTGAGAAAAAAACATTTTGCAATACCATAAAGAGTCTCATATTAAAATTTTATAAAATCCTTCAGGGCCTCCACAAGAAAAAGTCTAATAACACAATTACAAAATGGGCAAAAGACGTGAAAGACTTTTCACAGAGGAAGATTTATGGATGGCCAACATACATATGAGGAAATGCTCAAATCACTGGCAATAAGTAAGATACAAATAAAAATCACAAAGAGATAACATCTCACTCCAGTAGTAGAGGCAAAGTTTAACAGGACAGCAAGTATAAATGTTGGAGAGACTGTGGAGTGATAGGAATTCTTATACACTCTTGGTGGGATTATAAAATGGTACAATATCTCTGGAAGGCAGTTTGACATTTCCTCAAAAAACTAAACATAGAAATTTCACGTGACCCAGCTATTCAGCTGCATGGAATATATCCCAAGAAAATGAGAACTGAAACACAAACAGATATTTGGACACCAATGTTCATACCAGCATTATTCACCAATGCAAGAACATAGAAACAGCCCAAATGTCCGACAACAATAGAATGGACTGAGAAATTATGGTACATTTACATGATGGACTACTACGCAGCATGCAGAAACAATGATTTTGGAAATCACTACCTAACTTGGAAGGGACTGGAAAGCATTATGCCAAGTGAATTAACTCAGTCCCCTAAGGAAAAATACTGTATAAGACCATTATTGTAGAAATAGATAACAAGTAAATGTGTAAGATGATCCAAGGAGGGAAGGGTAGGAGCAGAAGGATGGGGATGTGCAGGAGGGTGACCATAGGGTCACGCAATTTCATGGGTAGAGGGAGGGATGGAAGAGGATATGGGAAAGACCTGGTCAGAAAAACAATGTATACAAACTTTGTAAGTAAACCAGTATAATATAAAACAAAAATTCATTTTTTAAAAAAACTTTTAAAAAACAAGTGATAGCTATTACTGTTGTTCTTGTTATTTTTAAAATAGTGATTGTGTTGTAAAGGATGAATTGTTCAAAATCGCTTTCCTAGCCATGGACTTTGACTTTCACCACGTGGGTGGAAAAAGAGGATGTGCAAAAAAGTATAAGATTGGTTCGTTTTCCTGCCCATCAAGTTAAACTGAGTGGACTTACAGTGAGTCTCACTACTAGCAAAGAAGGGGAAGCATAGAATGCAGCTCATGTCCTGCAAGACTAGGATTTCTTGTGCTGACCAGACCTAAATATACATAGGGTTGGCACAAGCCTCAGTAGAGAACCAGAGAACAGCATAAGATAGATCTGACTTCGGACTGCTGCCCTTGGAGCCTGAGCTAGAACCCTTCACCCAAGCTTGTTGGAGGACTGAGGGAAGACACCATAGCTGGCAGGACTAAAGGAACTTAGTAGTACTGGCCTAACCCATGAAGCTGAAGAACAAAGACCTGTGAATACATGTGAGAGGCTGTCTGCACTGAGGAACTGTACACCTGAGAAGCTGTCTGGACTGAGGAATTGTACCCTGCTACCAACCTGAACTGGGCTTCCCTAGTAAACCCCATAACCATGAGTTTTATTCTGAAATATCGGTGTGGTAATCGCGATGGATTTTAGACACAATAGAGCAGTAGGATGAGTATGGAATTAGTAGAAGTAGGTGCAGGAGCATGGGAAACCACGTGTGACATGATAGGAACTGGTTTTGTATTATTAATGATGTTGATGGAGACAGTTTCAGTTTGTGGAGTTAGTAGAGGTCACATATAACCATCCTTATGCTGCCTACACACTTTGTACACTAATGCTATTGGAACGTGTGCTAGAGTGGTCAGGAGAGGGAGGTAGTAGTCCTAGGTCTTTGTACAGACTTCTGTTCTTCCACGAGTCCATGAGAAAGGTGCTCTGGTCTACTGGACTTAGAGATTCTTCCTCTCCGGTGTTTGATCTGCTCCACTCTGGAGGCCACCCAAGAAAGTGTGCCTGAAAGATAATAAGTATTTACTTAGTGAATATTTCCAAACCTTAAGGTTTGGAAACCTTAATTGCATGCTATTGTGGTTGTTGTGGGAGGGCGGCAGTTGAGTCTGCTACAACACTTAGAGACCCCGATTAACAACAGATCTGAATCTTACCCTACTCTGAGTCATCTTCAGGGCCTCTGATATGCTTGAGCCCATTGTTACAGTCACTGAGTCGATCTGTATTGTTGGAGGGTCTTCTTCATTTTCTCTGACCTTCTATTTTTCTGTCATGGTGATTGCATAGGGATGAAGAATAAAGAATCAGAGAGTGGAGAGTCCAAGGAACATGGAAGGATGATTCTAAAATGGTTTATGCAAAAATGTTTCTTAAAATCGTTTCATTACAGACTTTCAAGGGGGGAAAAAAAGAAGAACAAACTGGGGAGGAGGGTAGAGAAAATAGTGCAACAATGAATGAAAACCCAAAATCTCTGTGAATGTTCATGAAAATTAATAAAATTTAATAAAAATGTTTCATTCTTTTTATTAAATCTATCTTCATGGTCATCTTCACCCTGTTCAGAACACTTGAGTTGAATTTATTTGATTGTTCCTAAATGCTTGTGCAGTGTTTTAAGAAGCTTGGCAAGAGAACAGCATTCAATACACAGACTAATAATCACTATTATTGAATTACAAGTTTCTCATTCATCTTATTATGTACACAGAAAATATTGTTGTGCCCCAAATCCAGTTCCCCCCAAGTCACCAAGGAGCTGACACCCATGCAAGGTCAAGAGGGAATTTATTTCAGGTTCGAATCTGGGCCGCTCTCCAAGCCATGCCAATACAGCAGGGAAAATGGCCACAACCCCGATTCTGGGCTGTCCCACCTATTTAAAGGGGAAAGCCTGTGAAAACAGGGTGATACAGGATTGGCTCATTCAAAGGAAGGGTGCGATAATGGGGCAAGACAGGATTGGCTGATTCAAAGGAAGGGCGCAATAACAGGGCGATACAGGATTGGCTGATTCAAAGGAAAGGTGCGATAACAGGGCGATACAGGATTGGCTGATGCTTGGGTGGGGGCTCTTTCCCCCCTTCCCCCACCGCTTTCAGTTTACTGCTCTAGAGGCTTATATATTTTATTTTTTGTTGTTGTTGTTTTGTAATTATTATTAAATTTTATTAGTTTTAATGAACATTTACAGAGATTTTGGGTTTTCATTCATTCATTGTTGCACTGTTTTCTCTACCCTCCTCCCCAGTTCGTTCTTCTCCCCCCCCACGAATGTCTGTTTTAATTGTCCAATTGCCACAGTGCTTGTCAAAGCCAGTTCTGATTCATCTCCTTTGTCAGTGTGTCCTTTGCCATTCCCTATCACTCCTCCCTGAGAGAGACTTCACCCTGATTCATAAGGAAAAGGGGATGGTGTATTCTCTTAGCTACTTCCTGCTGAAAAGGGACACTGTGTGTTTCAGGGTGAAGATCTTCTCACACTACTCTAAAGGGCCCCTTTGGCAGTAGGAAACACATAGACTATTATGGAGGGCTTATACATTTTAAAATGATGTATTGGTTACAAAATGGAGTCCCTCAATATTTAACAGGATTTTGGATTTTGCTGATATCAGAGTCCTCTCTAGAGTGCTAACGAGCAACACTATCTGTCTAGAGACAAAGGTGCGCCTGATTCAGGCCATAGTCTTTCAAGTTACTTGCTGTGCATCAGAGAGCTAGAAAGTGACTAGGATGACAGAAGAAGAATCAATGTCTTTGAGTTGTGGTGCTGGAGAACAAACCATGGAACACCAAGAGAACAAACAGGTCTGTCCTGAAAGGGTGACACGAAATTGCTCCTTGGAGGCAAGGATTTTGAAGCTCAGTCTCACATATTTTGGGCATGTGGCCAAGAGGGACTCCAAAAAATGAAATAATTTTGTAATTATTAATAATGAGACAAGCAGCCAGGAATGAAATAGAGCAGAGAGCATTGAACAGGGGGCCAGTAGTTCTTGACTGAAGACTCCAAGTCATATTTCTCTGTGTATTTATTGATAATCTGGGGAAGCAAATAACAAAAGGAATTCCTTGTAAATAAAGGCAATATTTTTCTCTATTGTCAGCCTAATGCTCTAGCTCAGGAAGTATTTCCCAGGAAGTAACACTCTGTAGGGGGAGCCGAGCTGGGCTTGCCCTCTGGGGCCTGGCCTGGCCTGGCCTGGACTGGCTTTGCCCTCCGGCGCCTGGCCTGGCCTGGCTTTGCCCTCTGGGGCCTGGCCCGGCCTGGCATGGCCTGGCCTGACCTTGTCCTCCTGGCCCTGGCCAGGACTGACCTGGCCCACTGGCCCGAGCTGGCGTGGCCCAGCCTGGCCTTGCCCTCCTGGGCCTGGCCCGGCCTGGTACGGCCTGGGCTGGTCATGCCCTCGTGGGCCTGGCCTGGCCTGGCCCGGCCTGGCCCGGACATCTGGGGCCTGGCCTCGCCCTCCGGGGACTGGTCCTGCCTGGCCACTGGGAAAGTCTGCAATCAGGGTCCTCTCCAAATTACTGAGGAGCAATGATTTAAGTTTGAAGACTAAGATGCTCCTAATTCAGGCCATTGTC